GAGGAAGAAAGCCATGCAAGCATCAGCCGAAGGACCACATTCATCAGGCTTCTTCTTAGGACGCCATATTTGCTTTGTTTCGGTAACTTCCTGTTTCAACTCCCTATTCCTCAACCGTTGAACTCTTCTTTTCTGACTTTTCCTCAGGCCTGGAGGACACCACTGTCATTTTTGCCATACGTATCTATAGGAATCAGCTTCTTCATCATGCACCCTATCATGAATCCAACCTTGACATGCAAATCTTTTCCTTTGCTGATTCTCAAAATCATCTATTTTTAAACGCCGATCATCTTCAGGAATCTTCGTTCCAAGTCTTTCATAGACGGGACGGCAGTTGACTCGAGATTGCCTATACTCGGAGTACTGAGCACTACACTCCGGACAATTATTTCTAGCAGGCAACCTCAAGCCTTCATTTCAACAATGCCTAAAGAATGAACAACCCCAATGAGACTGCTCCTGTTCTGTCATGTATTCTTCTTGCTCCCTTCGGCATACCTCTTCCTCATACCTCCGGCATTCTTCCATAAACCATTGCCTCTTATAGTATCCCTTCTCTTGCTCTCTCTGCCACTTGTTTAGCAAAATACGTGATGTAACTCCGGGTTTGGAAGTTTGACCTTTCTCGGTTCGGCTATTCTGAAACCGAACTCGTTGCTGCAGCTCTCTACTGGTAACTTGCCGATCCGGGTCAACAGCACCACTTTTCTTTGCTCTATCAGAAGTCAACACCTTCATCTTGCCTTTACCTTTGAGATCATTGGCAGAGACCATATTCACAGAGAAAGAAATCATATTTTGTGGAAAAGGCTGATCATCAATTCTCATCTTGCCATCAAACTTCAAATGTCCCTCTTGGATAGCTTTCTGGATTCGTATTCTGAACACTCGGCAATCATTGATAGAGTGAGAATTAGTGTTATGGAAGCCACAATACTTTTTCTCTTTCACTCCTTCAGGACGTAACATGGGATGTCCTTCTGGCAGCTTGATGCGTCCTTCCTTCATCAATAATGCAAAAAGCTTGTCTGCCTTAGTAACATCAAAATCATAGGTTCCCTTTTGTTGTTTCAACCAGCGTTGACTAATTTGAGTAGGCTCCTTTGCCCAATTCAACTCAGCTGCAGCTATCTCATTTTCATCAATATACTCGATACTTCCTCCGTAAAAACCTTGATACACCTCATTAGTGGCATTGTTCTTCTGAAAGCGATTATCTCTCCTGAATCCTTGGGCCTGATTATTCATAGCTACTAAACGCTGTGCAAGTTGGCCAAGATCATCAAACTCCATGCCGAACAACTTCTCCCTGATATTCGGCAACATTCCTGCTATAGCTATTCCAGGTAGTTGATCATCTGGTAAATTCAGAGAATAACACATATTCTTGGTTTTCCTGAATCTGCGAAGATATTCCAATGGTGTCTCATTTGTTCTCATCCTCGGACTCATGAGATCGACCAACTTCTTCTCATTAGTACCCGTGTAGAAATATGAATGAAACTTCGCTCTAGCTCGCTTACGTACCAATGGAATGAGTTGGTAAAGACGTGAACCACGTGAAAGCTGGTCCTGTAAGAGACAAAGGAAAATATCGAATCCTCCAAGCTTCATCTGAAGCAGCTTCTCCAAGCTGCATTAAGTACCGACTGACGTGCTCTATGGTACTAGTATCATCTTGACCGAAAACTTGGTCAAGTCTGTTGAGAGCTTCACCCTTGGAGGTAACGCCACTCTGTTGTACCACTGGATAAGGAGACTTGTATGAATAGGATTGATTTTTTGGCTTCAAGCCGAACTGATTCTCATCATATCAGCCATCCTGCATGCATCAAAACATCAATGCACGAATCCGATTTCCTTGTACCGCACTCGAAGGCAATCTCAAGCACTCCTATACCCTGGATTTGGCACAAATTGATAGCATTGTAATCGGTAAATTCTTGATACCCATCTCCATACATATTCTTCTGCGCAAATTTGATCTTTGGAGAAACTCTATAAGTGAAAGTGGCACTTCTCCCGTGGTACCAAATGTTACACCGCCATAGGTGGGATGTGATTGCTTTTTCAGGTGTGAGTCAATCCACCGTATTTGAAGTCGATGCTCCTTCTTTTCCAATGAGACTTCTCTTGATGCTTTGGAACATTGAAAAGTGTCGGTCCACCGAGTGGGCTAACATTTTCTTCAAAGTATTTATCAACCATTGGACCAAAAGTACTCGATCATGATTGCCCGAAAGGTATTCGGAAAAAAGCGTGTGATGGTTTGTCATGGTTTCTCCCATAGCTTTATAAACCAGGGGCTGCCATCTTCCGAGCATCCTCCTCTTGATGTAATCAGTTTGATGTGGAAGAAGAACCCTTGACATTGACCGCTTTTGAAACACTTTGTTGCTCTTGTTTTTGGAAAAAGACATCAAACACTTCCGTTGGTATTGCTCACATGCTTGTAGCACTAAATCCTCAGAATTATCCGGCAATTACGCCATGCTCACATCCGAACATGATCATTGTTGATCTCGGGCGCCATCTTGAACTAACAGATTGTCCCACCAGCGTGCCAAAAGTGTGTTGACACAAAATGTGACGACCATGCCTCACACACAACAAGCCGGAAAGCGTGGCTTCAATCGGGTGCCCGGTGCTTCGTGATCCGGAAGCGTGCGGTCGGTTTGACTGAAAAAAACTAACAAGGGATAAAACGATTAATGTTAAACCGGAACATGTCGGTGAGACCAGATAGCCCATATATACTGACCACTTTATAACTTACACGACATACGCCTATAGGAAGTCATGCGCCAACAAGTTTATAAACCATTCGGCTAATCGTAAGATGAACACACGTAAAGATCCGATTGCCGAATGCATGTGCATGGGAAGACATGTTTGAACAAGTGAAATTAATTATGCGTTAATGCATATCCAAGCTCAATGATCCAAATTTTGAGTTGGGGTCCATGAAGAAGGAACGTGCAAATAAACACGATTAAGCTAATCTAAAACCTCGCATCCGCCGCATACGACACCTAGTTTCGTCAAAGCTTAAACGTAATTAACATGCATGAACCCACAACATGTGACAATCTAGATTAAAATAATTCAGCCATTATGAGCATGTTATCTATTTGCAAAGGTAATATGAAAGTAATGATCATTGAAGCACGAATAAAACCATAGGAGAGGGCGAACAATATCAATCTAGATTGGGCGTAGTGTGTTACAAATATATAAAATATTTAAAACATGCAACACAGATAACTTAATGAATCTATTTAGATTTTGCCGTATCTAATAGAGCCGATAATTGTCTTGCTTTCACTAAGCATATTGAGCAAACGCCTGCCGCACGGTATCTACTCATAAACAAAGCATAAACAAAGACTTATTGATTGTCAAGCAAAGATCCGCCGCACGATCATTGAAAACAAACAAGACTACTTGCATCACGTCTAAATCCACCGCATGATACTAAACATGATAACAAGGTTGTCGGAACTTACGGAGGTCGACGGATCGATGACTCCTCTCGAAGAACTCGACGACACGACAAAAGGACTCGAAAGTAGGCACGGGGCCGGTTGTATTGATTTGGTTGTGAACGCCTATTACAATGGTCGAGGGTCAATATTTATACCCTAGACAAAACACGAGTCCTAAAAGACTACGATTTACAAAGGAACTCTTAAACAAACTTGGAAACTACGATTCCTTGCCCTAAACTCTCAGAGTCCTTTATTATTACAACTTTCATCTTTTCGATCGGCTTTGCTTGCCATCTTCTGCTTTCCCGAATGGAGTCACCACCTTCTGAAGTAACCGACCGCACAAGTATTTAGCCGACCGCTCGTTTTGTTTGCCGAATGTCCTTCTTCCCACATGCGGGCCCACCTGTCATCTTCCAAAGTCGACCAAAATCCAGTGTTAACAGATATTCTGCACATAACTTCATGTGAATGTTACTTATTATTGTACCCAACATTAGCATATATTAGTGAGTGTGAATTGACCTATTGATGTTGTTGCACCCATAGTCACAAAGTTTCTGGGTCGATGGGGTCGAGGTACGGGGTCACGGTACGTGGTACGCTACTCGTGAGAGATTTTTACACTTCGGGTCGAAAATGAACCCATGAACCCGGGTCGGGGTCGACGAACCCGGGTCGAGGGTCGAAGGTGGTGAACCCGTTTTATGTGATTATGGTTGCACTGGTACCCAGAGACAGAGATGGCCTTAACAAGGATCAATTTGGCGATTTAGAATCTTTGGGTTATCCCGAGCGTCCAAAATTAATGTTAACTGGTGAGCCAATTCATGTAAATATTGGCTCCACATGAGTTGTGGTTTTTTAATTGTTGTCTCACTTACAAGTATTGTACAATGTGTTTTGATCCAGATGACATTATTTTGGCTAATAATTTTGAAGAGCCTTTCGGCGATATATATGGTAAAGGTGTCTGGAGCAGACTAAGCCGAACAATTGCCTCCAACATGCATGAGAATATCGTTGCACTTGCTTCATTCAATGGTGGGTTTACAGTACTGTGCTTTTTACTATCTCATATCTGTATCTGATCACAACTAACTAGTGATCAATTATGTATCCAGGAGGAAAAATGATTTTTGCATGCTCAGGCTGTTTTATTGAATGGAATGGATGTACCACTATTCTGACTGCAGCGAGCTTGATTAGAGATTCTGCTTGTGAATATGATATTGTGAAAAACTTGACGGTTGGTGCTTCTAGCTATCATTTTATCCCTATTCTTTTATGAATCAGTGAAGTCTTAATTCTTTACATATTGAGGTGTTGCTTCCAAGCAAAAAACGAGCAGCTGGGATATTACAACATTATAATTTACATTACAATATTGCTCTAGTCAGGGTCAACGATTACTGTCCTAGCTATAGCCATCCACTAAAAATTCAACATCAGTTGCTTAAGGATTGTGAAGTAGTAGCTGTGGGGTGTATCTTCAAATCCGGCGAATTAATGGCGTCAAGAGGGGAAAAGGCTTGCATGATGTACACATATGATTGCAAATTTCTTATGTTTTCTACTTGTACAATCACTAAAGTAAGTCTGCAAATCTTCTCTCCTATTATTACACAGCTGATGATCCTGGTTGCATTGGACTGTGTGTTAATTAGTTAATTACCATATCTGTTTGACATCACCAATGAAAAACTTCTCCTATTACTTGTTAGGCTGGCATTGGAGGACCCCTTCTTGATTTTGATGGAAATATTGTTGGCATGAACTTCTACGACAAGTACGCAGGTGGAACCCCGTACCTACCGTGGGACGTGATCCTCGATGTCCTGGGACATTTTAGGAAGAAAAGGTATGCCTATTTCTTTTTGGGTATATTTAAGTGCTTGTCATGCAGTGTGTTTAGGTCTCGAGGACTTACAAGAGTTGTGCAAGCGATCTATTATAGAAGGTTCTGTAAAGCATCATAAATCAATTAACTATATTCTTTGGTGTGTTTATTAGGACCGTTGATGAAGCTGGCCTTGATGATTATGCATCTAATAAGCTTGACTGGACTATTGCTGGTGATCGCAGTGTCATGCTTAATAGGTATTCTGATGCATCCAATAATTACTATAAGTTCAATGTTCTGTACTATGAATTTGTGGATGGCATTACAGTGTGGCCATATTGTTGAACTACAGATGGCCTGTGCCCTTGCCGACTTGGTATCGTCCTGATGATCTGAAAAGGCATGACTACAAAATGGAACTAAAAAATGTGAGGTCCCGCAAAATATTCTTGTGAATGGAGTGACATCACTTCAAGTTTAGAAAGCATCACGTCCATTTCTACTCCGTTGAATTTACTACCTCCATATATCTTATCTGATTGGTCTGTTTGGGTTGGCGAGCATTCAGAAGTAACCTGGTGCCATATGTACTAATCTTAATTAAAATGTCACTGTCTTGGTGTTAGTTGTGTAATTATATTTGGGTCTCTGGCTGTACTGTATGTCCATTCAAGCCTTGTTTTGTTTAATTTAATAGAATACTCCTATATCACGCCGCCGCCTGCACCATTTCAGAATTGACACACGTGGCATGCCAATTCTTATTCTTACAAATGGCGCTTCATTGACATTTGACTTAGTGCTTGTTCAGATACCCATGGCGAATGGCATATTTGAACGAGCCCTGCAATTGCACGTTTAGACGTTTATTAGTCAGTATCGTCATTGCAGAAAGCCAGAAACCACCAATCAGAGCTTGAGAGCCACTAAAACGCAAATACATACAAAATACCCTTCATGGTTACGTGCAATGGGCTCTCAGCCGATGACAGCTGGGCCCAGGCCCACACCCACCTGTCAGATACTTCCTATCACCACCAGTGATATTGTGACGTAACACGCAGTGCTGACCACGTGCTACGTTATTTTTTTTTTCTTAAGATAAAAAAAGCTAGAGTTAAAGTGGCAACTGGCAATCTTGCGCAGGAAGGTCGGACAACCTTCCGCAGGAAGAAGCTTGGAACTTGGAGGCACCTCCACTCTCCCCCAGTCCCATATAAATGGCCAAATGGGTGTTTGCCCAGAGCATCACCTGGCATTCCAAATTTCCAATTTCAAACACGAGAGCAGTCAAGACTGTCAAGCAAGCACACAAACACCCACCCAATCGTCAGGAGAACTGGAGAAGCAGACCATATGGGACTCTCCTGCATGCCATCGCTCGCAAAGGTGCTCCCCAAGAAGCCATCCTCACCGTCGTCTTCCGTCAAAGACTCCCACGACGATATCACCAAGAAGCAGCAGCAGCAGCATAAGGAGCAAGGAGTGAAGCAGGATGAGGGGAAAAAGAGGAAGAAAGAGCAGAGGAGCAATCCTGACAGGGCCGCCTCCACCACTCCCTACTTCCCCTTCCATTCTAGGCCAGGACTCCTCTAGCCTGCCTAGTAGGAAATCCATGTACCGTATTGGTAAATCCTAACTAATTGGATTTGGAAGATGTGCCATTTTTTTAAGATTGAAGATGTGCCATTTATGATCTGGAGTATCATATACAGGCCCAGTGCCTCGTGATTAGGACTTGAGAAAACTGTTAAGTGCAATAATCTTGTGAGTTCACATCAAAATGCGTGGATCAGCATGATTCTAGTTAACATCTGGCACTAAATGCTACTGTATGTTTCAAATCTCCTTGTTTTCAAATCAAGTGGCAGTTGCTAGTTGCAAATACACCCTACTGTTAACCTGCACGCAATTTACAGCTATGTACCATGGAGGCCGTCCTAACTATATCATAGTATTACCTACGTCATTCAAGCGTAAAATTCTGCAGAACCGGGACTTGCAGCCCCTTGTTCCTTGTCGAGACGCCCAGTGTCATACCAACAGAAACAAGGGTTTCCAGTGACCTTTCGCTGTTTGCCACGAGATCAGCATCAAGTTGGATCGCATCCTGCCACACAGAGTCAAAGTTTCATGAGCAATAGTTTCGTTTTAGAATTTGTATGTATGAGTGGCAGCAATTTTTTATGTGTATAAAATGGACAGATAGCTAGTGAGCAGAGAAGCATAAGAGAACCTTCTCGAAGACGCATATCACTGTGCTCCCTCCAAAGGAGAAATACCCAAACTGGAAGAGAGGGAAAAAAAAGATGGAACAGATAATTTTACACCTTCACACAAACATCAGAAGAAATTATCACAATATATTAAGAGGAAATGCATGAAAAATACCTCATCTCCTTTGTGGATGTAGTCACCCTCTTTTTTCAAGAACGTGATGCTTCCTACCATGGTTGCTCCAATCGCAACAAATGCTACCTGAACCATGCCATCAGAAACAAGAAAAGTCATTGCATGATGAGTAAAGGGCAGCTAAGCTTCAGGCTGTATTGACTTTATTATCAGTTCATCTCAAAGAAACGGTAAACAAGAAATATGCAGAAAGACCCTGATAAACAATCAAATTTAACATACATTGACAAATTCAACTGTAGCATCAGGTCAGACCAGTTCGAACTATTCAATAAATACTGGGGAAGATTCTAAACTACATGCAGCCTGTTCGGGAGGCCGTATCGTATCGTGGATTATTTACTGCTGGCTGGTTTGGTGTGAGAGAAAAACACTGTTCCCGGCTAGAAATTTACGATCGTTTACGAGCAAGCGAACAGGCTGATGAGCATTGCCGCATTGGACACCCTTTTCTGTTGAGTTTGCTGACAACTTTAGGAGGTAAATTAATCCAATATTCAATTAAAAAAATTGATCCAACATTCCAACATAAGAATGTAAAAGAGCAAAAATGCAAACCTTTCCAAACTCGGAAGTTGATATTATTGAGACAACTCTTTTATTCTCAGTGAATACATTGCAATACTTGCTATTCACAGCAATGGGATTGACCTGTCAAATGCAAATAGACCAGCATCAGTAAGATGCTGAGAAATGACAAGAAATATAACATAACACAAACATGCCGATATACTTCCGATATTAGTATTCTATACCGTGTACAGGAACCCAGGAATTTCCACAAATTTCTCCACAATTCCTGAGACTGGCACATGAAACCTATGGTAATCCTGCACATTACAAAGTGTTAATATTCATGATTCCAGAGTATATTTTCGACAAAACATTGAGCTTTTAAAAGTAAGGATTTTTTATCTTGACAAGGAGATTAAAAGTTGTACCTGAGGTGCAAGCCGGAAAATGACCAATGATCCATTGCTTAAAGCATCTGAGTGCACACTGGTCCCTAGGAGACCCTCAATTGAAAATTTGCGGCCCTAGGAACAGAAGGCATACTACAGTGAGACATCAACTAAACATTCTACCATATGAAGGATCATGCGTTGTGCTTGCATGGACATGTCTCAATAAGTCTCATCTCTTAGTCAAATAGTGCCTTCACCTTGATCCAAAGCCTTGTGCTCTCATCAACGGAACTGAAAGTCATTAAACGGCTATCAGCAGCACAAGTAGCAACACTGTCTTGGTCACCATGTGCAATTGGTCTGGCACCAGGCTTCAGTCCTCTTATGAAAAATTCATTGAAAGTCTACAAAGAAAAAAAAAACTAATTCAGCCCATACAAAAGACTATTCAAAATCAAATCAAATGTGCTATCCCATCAATGTCTATTATTACTTCATTCCGAAAACATTGGTGTTATAGGAAGTCCAACAGATAGTGAACATGATGGCTTGAATTACTACTATAGATACATACCTTAAAACTTTCAATAGGGTCCTTGACCTCATCCATATTAATTTGACCCTGCAGTTATATACAATGAATATCTAAGTTGACAACGATGGTTTATATAAATGCAAATGATCAAACTACATTCAGAATTTCAGATAGATAAGCAACAAAATGGATCAACAGGTAAATATCAAGACCAAATGACTAGCATTTTAGCAAGAATCAACAGAGATAGTCAAGCTATTGACGAAGACTCATCCATGGACCAAATTCCCACACAGTTAAGATTGAGCTTAAAAGATACAGATAAAGACTGATTTTTGCTCCCAAAGAAAAAACAAATGAAGACTGGATTTTGCATTACCTCCAAGGCCTCTATGTAAATTAAAAAATAGAAATTGAATGGGGAAAAGGGTTTGTTGTTCTCCTGCTTCTGTGTTTTCTATCATTCACCAAAAGCAGGCCCTCAATAACCAGTATACATTTCTGGGATCACACCTTCTTCACATAGCCCATATTCTATATATATCTTTGCACAATTTGAAGGATAGGAAAATATTGAGAAAGCTTAAGTAAAAAGTACACTATTTTTTAGAGTTTTGTTGTAATTAAAAGTTCTATTCCATATATATCCAAGGACAAGGACTTTTGACTCCATACTACTTATGTTACTTGAAAATTAAAAGTGAAACAACCAAGTGCTGGAATTAACACAGCTCTGACATATAATGATTTGTGTATCTTAAGTGTTGGCACAGAAAACCCCTGCACATGTGAGCAATCAGCTCACCAGCACTCACACTCTCACTCACGGCTAGAGATAGAAGAAGATGAGAACAGAGCACACACAGCACAAGCACCAGCACGGCAGCACTGAACTGAACTCTGAATGTGTTGCAACTACTCCTACATGGCTGAGATCAGCCACTACAACTAGTGGCCTATTGCCATACATCTACTTGTACTAACTAGTACATGAAGTAGTTGGCCTGTTGCCATACTTCAGCAGTAGTCAGCAGAGCTGACCGATTGCCAACTCTACTGCTGCAGCAAAACAGAAGAGAGGGGCAGCAGCAGATTATCTTACAGTAAGTGCATTTTCATTGTAATGTGGAAAGAAAATAAGAACAAACAAAAAAAAAACAGACAAACAGCATATGAGCATAACTCAGGCAGAAGGTGGCAGTGGCACTAAGCAATTACAACATAAACATGGGACCACAGAATATTTCCACATCACATGATCTCTAGGGTTCGTTAGGTTTGCAAATCATGTGCAACTGTGCATATTCTTCATCAAGAATTAAGGGCAGACCCAGTGCCGGAGGCTCCCACATGAGTGGGGTCTGGGGAAGGGAAAAACCGAGGCAAGCCTTCCCCCCCGCAAAATCTGCGGAGAGGCACCTTCATCAAGAATTAAGTAAAAAAAAGGTTTAGTCATACTCTGCACCTTAAATAACTCAAGGAACTTGGGAATATCTTTTGCAGATTCCGGTGAGTTCATCTTTTTTCCTTGCTTCTCAGATAGGTTCTTCAAGAGGTCTTTAACACCTGCATGACAACATTGTGAGTACATTGAATGAATCTGTATACTGGCTTCTAAGTAGCCCATAGTTATCTAGGTTACTCTTGCCTACAGACTACAGCTACATAAGCACAATGGGGTGACGAGCTACAGGAATTTTGTCTTCCCTTTTAAATGCAAGATTGTAATTGGTGACCAAACAGTTGGTTTCTTGTTCATGACCTGCTTCACCAACTAAATATCAATTGCAGGAAGCTTGTTGTACATCACAACAGATCAATTCACAAACCAGCATTATTTAGTATGATTCCATGGTTCCATCCTTAGGAGTGAAGCAAATACAGATCATTTTCGGTGAGTCTATCTAGTGGACCTCAGCATATGATCATCTAAATTAATAGTGGGAACATGAGACAAACTAATATTATTCAATCCAACATACCTGTATTTATAAGAGTGAGGCCTACTTTTGATTGGTACAAAGCCCTCATGGACATTACAATTTTTCCATCAATAACTTCTTCGACTATCCTCTTTGTTCGCCGGTCAAAAACCTTATATCACAGCATTGATTTAATGAAGGGCACAATACAACTACCATATCTTGCATCACTCAAAACTTTTAAGTTAATCTACCATATGGAACAACTTAACACACCAGAATATGTGAAGCTGTAGAGCCGGAGCGCAAACCAACATCGTATGTGGAGTAATGTGCCCATTCACTGAGCTTGAACATCCACCTGCAGATGACAACTATGTGACTATAGTATAAATTGCTCATGTTTTCATGATATTTCATAATAAACAAGATAAAATGGTAGAAATAAGACTAGACACATCAATAAATGAAGCATCTTACCCATAAGAAGCCTGCTTGTCAGTTAGAAATCCACCAGTCATAATCTGATTACCAGTTCCCTCATCAAAGCAAAGTGTCATATGTATCATATCATTTATGTTATCATATTTCCCAAGATCTTCACCACAGACAGGGCAGTTACTTATAAGTGGTTCTCTGAAAAAGAGGGCAGCATAATCAATGATACTGCTATACTTATGAGATAAGCAATAATTAATTTCAAAACATAACAAAATACAAAGTAGCAAATTGTTACTTTTCTTGTTGATCAGCCAGTAGGGCTGCCAGCTCATCTATGTCAACTATGCCATCACGATTTGTATCTGCTTGACGGAAAAGCTC